GGCACATTCGACGAATGCTGCACAATAGTTGGAGGAAGGAGCTGGTGATGATGGATCTGGTGACTGAAAATTTTCAGATTTTGTTTGGAAGAATAATTTTTCATAATGTACGGGTCAATAAGATACCGTAAACACTGTAATAGAAGGCAACCCAAACACACTATCATTAATATTTTATCAGTTAACCAATTTTAGATATCTCTCACAAGAACTGAGATATATAAGTTCAAAGTTGGCTGGTCAATCAGGTAAACGAAAGGCCATCATGCTTACGTTTGTTCGAAAACTGTTCGAAAAATCGTTCGAACGAATTTTCGTTCAAGGGAAATGTTTTTTGAAAAACACACAATGTTTCAGATGCAAACTGCTCTCATCAGAATCGACGCTTCAAAAAATGATCAACACCACAAAGACAAATTTGAAGAAAAGAGCAGAAGACTGTAAGAAGGGAATGCCAGTGCTACCGATTATTTTGGACGGAGTTTTGTTCTCCGAAGACGAGTCTCATGAGAAGAGTTGGGCTCCAACTGGACATGTAAATGTTCGTTTCACCGATAAAGAGACACAAAGAAATCAACAGGAAGAGAGGAACGGTGGATTTGTCAATGTTCGATTCACGACACAACAAGAAAATGAAGAGAGAGCAAGAAAGTTATTAATTCGTTATGGAGACAAAGAAGGAGATGGATTGACACTTCCCAAGCTTTCTTATCCAGAAAACAGCTCAAAAAAGGAGTTTGAGAAGAAGTTTGACGCAGCAATGAGGAAAACGGATTCGATAAAACAGAGAATAGAAACACTCGATAGATCAAAAATTGCAAAAGAAGGCTTCGACTCGCTGATTGATGCAGCAACGGTTTCAGAAACAGTCAACAATATGCCACCAATGGGTACTGTAACTCTTCTAGAATCAAATGACGATAACATTGCTGTCGAAGATTCCGGAGACAAAACTTCTGTTTCAAGTTCTATTGTTTTTGGATCTTCCTCGGAATCCGTTACAACAAGTCCAATAATCTTTGTCGAAAAAATTGCAATTCCCCAGACGAATAGTACAATTGAGAGGTGCCGAGTTTCCACGACAATTCGATTTTCGAATATTCTGAAGATGTTAGGAGAGAATCCGAATTCAAAAGACTTCAAGGAAGTTAAAGGTCTCGTCGAGAAGTTTGAAAAAAAGTTGAAAGGAAAAGAATTGAGTGAGGATCAAAAGAATAAGGCGAAATTGGTAAGTTATTGGGGAGGGGGGCGAGTGGTAGAGACAGTCACTTACTTTGAAATTTCAGATCGAGAAATCCCTGGAGATGCTCTTGGAGAATTTCGACGATTCTGAATACAAAAAGGTAGAAAAAAGTGTGGAAAAGGTGGTAAATGAAACGCAGGACTTGCCTATTTGTGAAGACGAGTCCTCCACGAATTCTACAGTTGTAACTTCCGAATCTATCGATGATCCCACGTCTACAATGTTAGTAGACGATAATGGAGACAAGTTTATAATACAGAGTGAGTTAAAAATTGAAGAAATGGGGATAGAAAAAAAAAAACTGAAAATGGGCTGGAAATAGGCTGATAAAACAGGTTGAAAACATAAATTTGAAGGCTGAAAAAGGATAATACAGATTAATAAGCTAAAAATAGTCTAATAGTAAGAGTAAACTAAAAATATGCCTTAAAAATGCTAAAAAAATAGACTGACAGTATGCTTAAAACACTTCAGCCGCCGTTCAGCTGCCAATTGTCCGTTCAGAATTGCAGAATTAGAGGGAGGTTTCTGATGAAAAATTGAAGAGCGTAGCGTTAGAATTTGATTGTTTACATTGGTTATTTTCACGAAAATCTAAAAAAGTCATATTTTCCCTTATTTTTATGGAGCTCACCGACGGATCATCGTTGGCCCTTCAGCCGCGACTCGCCCATTTTTGACCCACCTGCGGCCGAAATTTTGTGAAAATCTTTTTTTTTCGTGTCCTTTAACGAACGAAACTTGAATCTTAAAATTTTCAGAAGGTGCTACAACACTGGTGGTGGGAGGAGACAAGGATGACAAGCTAGAAAAGAAGGATGGAGAAGAAGTGATCAAAAACTTTATCTCCGAAGAATACAAAGTTGAAATCGACGCATTCAGAAGAGAACACAATCTATGGACCAAACAAAATAGCAATGTAGGATTTCGCTGTCAATTTTAAAATTAAAAATCTTTTAACGTTTCAGACAACACTGATAAAAAGAAACGAAACCACATGTGATATGTACATGAGATGTCGATCTCAGATGCATTTGGCTGTTGATAGCTGTGCATGGAGATTTGCAAGTGATCAACTTCTTGCTACAATGGCTGAATCTGCTGAAAGTCTTCTTTTCAAAGTGAGAGAAAATTTGAAACTACAAAAATAACTTCTAAAAATTAAATTAAATTTGCAGGACGATGGCGTTTGTTCTCAAAAGGATGGTGACAAATTTGTAGAACTTTATGAGAACATGATCAAAAGAAACGACAAACTTCGAGTTTGTCTGGACGACAAGAATGAGCAATTCGTAAGATTATTTTCCTTCTTTTTTCTTATATCATCTTAAATTTCAGTTCGAAGATTCCGTCTGCCTCGCATACCCAGAAGAACGTCGTCACGAATATGACAATGCCCTTCGACGTCTTCTGAATACTTCTTTCGAGTATTCAAAATCCAGAGAATGTTTCCATGACGCCAATATGATTCAAGAAAAGTGTACTCATCTCAGAGATTGTTGTCCAAACTTTGATGAGTGAGTTTTTAAAACAAATTATGAAATATTTTAAAAATTATTTTCAGATGTCGAGAAGAAACATTTGAGGTGGAAATTGAAAGAACTATCATCAATTTAACAGCAACAATCAATGAAATAAAGCAAGAATGTGTGAAGAGAAAAGCCAAGGAAGCAGTCAAGGTAAGTACTGTCAAGTTTGAGCTCATATAACTCGCTTCCTGTGAAAGATATCAAAAATGTGTCAGCTGATAACATATTTTTGATTATATGATAAACAATTTATCAGTCGACAACTTTCTCATATCTTTGACAAGAACCGAGATAAATCGGTTCAAAGTTAGGGCGCATTCTATTACAGGTTTAAAGTTATTTTTTAGACTTACGAAAAGTTTATTATAAGAATCCTATTATTTTTCAGAATGTCGTACGCCAGCTTCTATTGAACACAGATGCAGGTCAAAAACTTGAACAAATCGCCCAACTTGGTCTGGATATTTCAAGAGGTGCTCGTGTGGTTCGAATGGCCAAATATAGATCCTAAACCATTCTCTTATTTTTATTCAATTTTTTGCCGGTTTTTTTCCACTGGTGCCAATTATGTTTTTTTGTTTGACTTTCCGGTATCGCTTTAATCACTTTTTTAAATGTTTTTTTTGCTCACACGTGTACACTAATAATTTCTCGGTTCCTAATAAAGTTCTCTATAATATCTGCTGGCTGTAATTATTCCAGACCGGACAATTGAAAGAGAAAATGAACAGTGAATCGTGTTTTTGGCAACTTTTGATCAATTGCATTCCACACTTGTAACTGGTGAAGTGACATGTTAACTGCCAATCGAATGGACGATGGAAAATGCCAAATGCGAATGTATGCGCCGCCCTTTCTTCTGCTTTCAACGTCTTCTTCTTTTTCTTTTCTTTCCTTACTTTTTCTTTTCGTTTCGACCATTTGTGACGACAACTGTTTCCGTTGAAACGATGAACATCACTTCGGCTGTGTTGTTCTGAATCAGATTGATCTGAAAGAAACCGATTTTTCATATTTTCTAAATATTCAAATATAGTGGCAAGGCAAGTACTGTCAAGTTTGAACTGATTTATCTCGGTTCCTGTGAAAGATATCAAAAAGTGTTAACTGATTAATTATTTATCATAAAATCACCAATATTTCATCAGTTGAAAAACTCCTGAAATCTTTTACAGGAATCGAGATAATTGAGCTCAAAATGGTTTGGGTGGAGTTATATTACAGAAAATACGAAAAGTTTGAGCTAATTTATATCGGTTCCTTGCATAGATATCAAACATGTGTCAACTGATAAAATATTTGTGATATTATTATAAACAATTTATCAGTTGACAACTTTTTTATATCTTTAACAGTAACTGAGTTACATATGCTTAAAGTCAAAAGTTAGGGGCCCTTCTATTACAGGTTTTACGGTTTTCTATTTTGTGTTTCCATCAAAGCTAGAGTATCAGTCAAAATGAATTATCGAATTTTTTTTGCCAAAATTGCCAAGTTTTAGTTCTCTGAAAAATAAAATTCTCCGTAATTCCTGAAATTTCTTACAAGTACGAGACGAATAAAGGTCTCAATTTATCATTATTTGTGGAACAGTCCTAATTTTTGTAATTTTCGAGAGACATTCAGAAAAAGTGGCTGATATGCTAATAAACTTTTTTTTCAACTGAAGTGGTCTAATTGAGCATTTTAGAAAAAAAAAAAAGTATAAAGTTGACCTATTCCCTCTAAATCTTTAAAAAAAGCGCCAGTCTCCGTTCTGAAATTTTTCAGGGTGGCGCATAATTACCCGGACCAAAGTTTGCGAGAGTATAACAATTGAGTAAAGAGTTGCTCTTGGCTCAAGTTTGAAGAACGCAAATTCCAATAGCTCATCATAAATTGTACGAATTTCAAACTATTTGATCAACTTTTAGCTGATTTATCGCTTGTCAAAGTTGCTTTATCTCAAGACACTCCGTTCATCTTTGAACAACCATAACAATACCTAGGCTTGATGAATCGCTTTGAAAATTTCAGTAGCTCTGAAACGAACGTAAAGTTAAATGTCTACCAATTGTCGGGATTTCAAAAAACTTATATTTAAAAATATACCCGTTTTTATCAGTCCGAGTGCTCTATTCAGATTTATAACTTTCTATACGATCCCGGTAACTTAAAAAAACTTGTAAGTTTGGTTAATCTATGGCGACTTAAATTTTGCCGAGATCTTTTTCTTTCAGATGTTCAGAAATCCAATTACTATCACCTCCTTCTTCTGCACCCTAACCCGAACATGTTTATTTCTTGAGAGAGAGACACCAAAAAAGAGAAAACGCAAAGCAGAATTTTTGTCGAATTAAGAAAGATCGTTTTCGGTTCTCGGCACGACGCTCGTTGATTGACGAGGGAGGAGGTGATAAGTGATAAAATGGCTTCTTCCTCTTCTTGTTTCCTATTCACACACCTTCTTTCTCTCTCTCTCTTCGTTACATTCGATTTTTTTTCTGCCAGCCTTTGATTAAAAATCTATCCCTTTCACTAGTTATCTCTTATCACATTCATATCAGTTCCTCTTACTTTTTCTCTTTTCACCTTTTTCTTCTTTTTTTTACAGTTTTCTCAAACTTTTCATGATAAATTCTTATAGCAAGTTCTTGATATTTTCAGAGATGCCACCACTCCATAAAATTCTATTGTTCACAACAACACTTGCCAGTTTATTATCATTTTCCATAGGTTCGTTTCGTTCAACCAAAACATAATAAACGACAGAAAAAAACAGGTTCCCAACACCCTGAATATGTCATACAGTTTACACAAGAACAATACCCTCTACGTACTTACAACTAATCCTTTTTTTCAGCAGGTGACACGTGCCGAGACTATGATAACAATTGTAGAGACTGGATTACGGTCAATCCAAGGGCATGCGAGTCAACAGAATACATTAAAACGAGCTGTCTCAAAAGTTGTGGACAGTGTGGAAGTGTGGATCCAAGTGAGTGTAAAACCTTCAATATCAGATGAAGATGATAAGAAGTTCAGAAACATTTAAGGGTACATTGAAACTGAAGATACCTTAATACCTTTAATAGGGGGTTTTTTAACTTTCAGCAATTTTTCTCGGTTTCTGCCAACGATATGAAAAAGTTGTCAACTGATAAATTGATTATAATAATATCTCAAACATTTTTTCAGTTGACACATTTATGATGTCTTTTACAGGAATTGAGATGATTGAGCTCAAAGTTGACACTGCAGGAGCCCTTCTGTTAGAGGTTTTACGGTGCGCTTTTTTGCAAAGTCTAGAAATTAGCAACATTTATAGTTAACTTGGAAATTTGAAGAGCAAAAACTACCGTAAAACATGTACTAGAAGGGTCCCTTCAATAGAAGGGCCCTTCTAATAGAACGGTCCTCCGAGAGGGTAATGGAACAATAGCAGCGCCCCCAACACAAAGTGTTGTTAGAAATGAAACTTTTCCGTACGTTTTCAGTGAAAAATACTCCGGAAATTCCATAATTTGACAAAAATTTCATTTAACTCTCTTTTTTGCTCAAAAACTCGCTCAATTTCGGTAAAATTATTACATTTTCATGAATTTTGAACAAGAATTCACACATTTTTAAATGAAAATTTTCTTGAAAAATTACCGAAAAAACTGAAGGGCTCCTGCTATAGAAGGGCCCTCATGAGGTGCCTTAGAACAATAGAAAGGCCGGTCCTTCTAATACAGGCTTAACAGTATTTTTTTTCTAGAATACGACCTTCGCCGTCTTTCTCAAGAGCTGACACCAATCGGGTTTTTGGTTGGAAAATGGAGATCAGAGCACGGAGGAAAAGTAATGGACAGTTTCGAAAAATATCTGTAATCTATAATTCTAGGCAATCTTCCCCACAATTCCGAAATTCACATTTGGAGAAGAAATCGAAATTTCGATTCCAGACGATGCTATGCAATCGGCCCATGCTCTGAACTATACGTAAGAAACTTCTGAAAGATGAAATCTGAAACCTCTGAAAAAAAACAGTTGCAGCTTTTAAAGAATTTCAGATTTATTAATTTTTAGGGCATTTGCATGGAGTGTAGATAAAAGAGATGAGAAGAATCCGAACAGGTTTCATTGTGTTCTTTTTTTGGGTTTTCTGTTTTTGTTCGTTATTTCTTGTGGGTCCGTCTTTCTGTATTTCTTTTATCTGGAAAATGGTTTCTTTGGTAGAATATGTTGACGGGAAGTAGTTCTGGTGAAAACAATTTTTTTTTGCTTTGGAGAATATCTTCAATTTTTAGAGCATTTGCCTGGTCCATCAATGACAAAGATGAGCTGCACAGTGAGTACGGATACATTTCAGTGAAGCCAAACACGAAAGAAGTTGCATTGACGACGGTTATGAATAATGGTTCGAATTAAAATGGTTCAAAACCTGTAATAGAAGGGAAACCGAAGTTTGATCTCGATTAACTCCATTCCTGTAGATGATATAAAACATGTGTCAACTGATAAAATGTTTGTGATATTATGAAAAACACTTTATCAGTAGACAACTTTTTCATATCTTTGAAAAGTCAAAATTTAGAGGATCCTTCTATTACAGGTTTTACGGTTAATGAGTGAGACAAAACGAGAAAATTTCTAGGATTCGTGACAGTTGAAGAAGGACCAGTGAATGGAAATCAGATCCGGTTCAGGTTGAAAGATATTGGAAGAATCAGTTTCAGCAGAGATTTGCCAGTTCATGATGTAAGTTTTGTGTAAGAGATTTGAAGATTCTTGGAGCAAGAATTTTTCGAAGGGAAAAAACATTTTTGGAATTGTATCGACATAAAAATCATTCTTCAAACTTTAATTTTTAAAATCCTCAGAATACATTTCCTGAAAAACTAGTAAACAATTTATATATTTTTTTTTCTAGATTTTTTGAAAAAAAAATCCAAAAATCAGAAATTTTTCAAAAAGAGAACTTTTTCGCGAAAATTTTTCTTTTTTATAGGTAGAAATATGGTCTAGGCATCGTTATGATTGTCAATAGATAAATGACATAATTTTTCGGATTTTCATGAGATGAAGCAACTTTGACAAGCTATAACTCAGCTCAAATTTGATCAAATAGCTTGTAGCTTGGCCAGTTTACTTACGGATTGTATAAATTTTTGCATCCCAAATGTAAGGCTAGTCAAACGCTTTACTCAAATATTATGATAATACAAAATGTTTTCCTGGTAATTACCGTAAACACTCTGAGAGAGAGAGTGTGTCACTCGAACCGTTTACTTTGAACACTTGTATCTCCCTTCCTGCTACAGATAACAAAAAATTGTCAACTAACAAAATATTTGTAATTTCATAATTAACATTTTGTTAGTTAACTCCTTTTTGACATCTTTTACAAAAAATGAGACATATGGGCAAAGTTGACGGTTTGGGTGGCACTCTATTTGAGGTTTTACAGTATGCGTCACTCTGTTGTAGGCATTTTGCAATAGTTAATTCCTATAATTTTCAGCTGGTTCGTGAATGGACACTTTTGGATCGATCGACTCTTCAAGCTCGTCTGAATATGGAGACACTAACCCACGGAATGCAGGAGCACACATTTATCCGTTATAACAAAATAGAACCATAAACAACAGAAATATCTCTTATTTTTTCCATTCAACTTCTAGTCAATTCCCTCTTGGAACGTTTTATTTCCCCCACCTTGTTCTTCTTCTTATCCTTTTTTTTCCTCAAAAACGCCAACAAATAAAATGTGTACTGCTTTTATGAGTTCTTCCCCTAAAAGCCGAAGACGTCGTTGAGCCCCCCCAACTGTATAATGGAAAAGAAATGAGCTGTGAAAAATAAGAAAAAGAAAAAAAAGAGAAAAAGAAAGCGAGAAGATGGATGGGCACATTGGCACTTTATGGCCAATTTATGAAGATTCTGGAGGCAGAGACGAGGTGGTGACGACGTCTTCTTGGAATCTCCCGGGCTTTTCGAGGATTACTTTTATTCGTTTTTTACGTTTCCTAAAGAATAGAAAAAAGGGTGGAAGATTGAAATCCTAAGTTTCATAGTGATTTCAATGGACGTCGTCAGATAATCCCTAAACACATAGGATGGCACATAATTACACAGACTAAAGTTCAAGCTAGTATAAAACTCGAGTGGATCGTTGTATTGAGCTCAAATATGAAGTGAATAAATTCAAATAATTCAACCATAAACTGACCAAATTTCAAATAATTTGATCAATTTTGAGCCGAGTTATCGCTTGTCAAAGTTGCTTCATCTCATCGAAATCCCAAAAACTACGTCATTCATCTTTGAACAACCATATCAATACCTAGACTTGAGGAATCGCTTTGAAAATTTCAGTAGCTTTGAATCAAACATAAAATTATATCTTTACCAATTTTCGTGCTTCCAAAACAACTTATTTCAAAGATATACCCGTTTTTATCGAATGTGAGCCATTCTGAAATTGCTCGTGCGTGAATTAATTCTCCTTCTCCGTTCCGGATCCCTTGTCTGAACATTGTTACCCTAAATAGCTCATTGGATTCTTGATGATCCATCTGCCAATTCCTTTTTTTTTCTTGGCAGGTGGCAATATTCCCAGCTGCATTAATGGAAAATGCTACCAGTATAACAGGTGCGTCTCTTTTTTTTTTATGTAGTTGTAGTTTTACTTTTTACGATGTAATACCACCTGTTAGTTTCTGCAACCATCCTTTTTTGTTATTTAGATTTCATTGAACATCTGCTCATTTTTCCACGTTTAGGAACTGAGCACTCCAGAAACCTACCCTAAAACCTGTACATGAAGGGCAAAGGGCACCTAACTATCAACTTTGAGTCAATTTATCTCGGTTCCTGTTAAAGATATCAAAAAGTTGTCAACTGATAAATTGTTTATAATAATATCTCGAAAATTTTATCAGTTGACACATTTATGATGTCTTTCACAGGAATTGAGATAATTGAGCTCAAAGTTGACACAGCTCTTCTATTGCAGGTTTTACAGTGTGTTGTCAATGAATTACTATAATGTAAGATTCAAACAGGATATCTATCTACAACTTCTTTATATCCTAAAAATCCCTAACTTTTGCGAATATATCGTTGTTTCTCGTCTATTCATCAACAGATGTTTCATCCATCTCTCCTCTTCCCCCAATTGCTCATCAACTTCTTCTTCTCCTAGTCTTCTCCATTTCTGTGTTTTCTTTTCTGCACCCCACTTCATTTTCCCTCCGATTCTATTTGACATTTCTTCATGTGAGAGCTCCTCATTCGAAACGTCTTCAGAAGAAGACAAATCGCTGCTAAATTCATCATTTTTCGAGTGGCTAGGAATCCAATATCAAGGCGAGAGAAAGAGCATAGAATAAGAAAACAAGAGGGCTTTTCAACGGAAATTAGAACCATTTTATTTCAGATTTCTTTTGGTTTTTTTTGTTCGATGGGAACAAACACGACCCTTCAGATTTGACTAGAATATTTACTAGGGAATAATAAAAGTTAATTTTTCAATTCATACATTTTAGGAGGAGAAAAACTCTTATAGCGTTTCAATTTTCAGTTACAAATTATAGGCTTTTAGTGCTTATTGGATGGCCCGGACTGATAAAAACGGGTATATCTTTAGACATACATATTATAGAAGCATAAAAATTGGTAGAAATATACTTTTACATTTGATTTCAAAGCTGAAATTTTCACAGCGATTCCTCAAATCTAGGTATTGCTATGATTGTCCAAAGATGAACGACGTAATGTTTCTTGTGATTTTCATGAGATGAACCAACTTTGACAATTGATAACTCAGCTCAAAGTCAATCAAATAATTTGAAACTTGACCAGTTTGTTGATGAATTCTTTGAATTTTTTCAATCCAAATTTAAGCCCAAAAAATTTTATGCTAGTACAAAAGTACTTTGTTCTTGCCTGATTAATCTTTAAATTTCAGAAAGTATAAAAAACTTAGAACTCAATTTTTGTAGTTGATTAGTTGTGTGAAAAACAACTTTTCTGAAAATATAAATCAAGTACAATAACACCATTTCCGTTCTTACAAAAAGGGGTCGTCATCATTCAAATGTTTGTGAAATGGAGTTTTTAACTATCAAAAGAAAGCTTGTGTTATAATTTATGAAATTTTTAGATTAAACCATCCTAGCAGTAGACATCCACAGTGGAAAGGTTTCAGATTTCGAAGATGTGGAGCTACCGTATTTCCTCTAATAGAAGCCTATCCAAACCGTCAACTTCAAGCTCAATCATCTCGATTCCAGATATCGAAAGACTATCTACTGATAAAATGTTTATCATAATTTCCCCAATATTTTATCAGTTGACAATGTTTTGATATCTTTCACAAGAATCGAGATAATTGAGCTCAAAGTTAACTGTTTGTCTAATTAGAGGAAATACGGCAATGTGTACATGTGAACCATATACGGTAAACAGAAGTGTACAATGTGATATTCTAGTTTATGAAATGCATAGTTTACACATTTTAAAAGACCCAGCCTTCGAAAGAATTTAAAAGTCAGAATTAAAAAGTTTCCCCTGATTAGATTTTCTAAATTTCCCGAACGTCTTGATTTCATAGTGAGTCGCATTCTCATGAGAATAGTAAAACTTTCAAATGGGAAAATTTCCCACATCCAACTTCTTGACGCCATCATTCAACACCTAACAAAAATTCTCCGGATTCCGCCGTCAAATCCATTCTTTTCTTCTTGTTTTCCGATTTCTCTCAACTCTCTCTTCTGCTCCAATACTTTCCCTCTCTCACACCCTTGGAGACTTTTCTCTTCTTCTCCCAGTCGTCGTCGTCCCCTCCATCGATCGGTTTCCTTTCTCGGGAGCTCCGACGACTTCAACGGCAGTTTCTACTCTCTGCGTCTCTTCTATCTCTCTCGCGGCCATTAGACGTTGTGTGCCCCCGCCTGAAAATAGCCGCGCACCACAACATAGTCCTGCTCTTCCTCTTCTTTTTTCTTTCTTCTAGACTTTTGTGAGCCTATCTTTTTCCAGATGACGTGCTTCTTTTTTCTTTCTGTTCGAACACCCAAAACCACATGATTATCCGATGGTCATCGTCTTGTTTCTTTTCTTGTTTCTACTCGTTAGTCCAATTTTTTGGTTTGGATTTTCTTTTTTACTGGAATACTAGGAGCATGTAGAATAAGAATATCGGATTTCAGTGTTTGTAAGGATAAGAAAGAGAAAACGAGATAAATCGGATGAGAATTAATGAATAGAGGGCGGAATATATTCACCAGATTATTGTCGTCAGACTTCTCGGACTACATTCTGATGTAAAGGATTTTTTCTAGAATAAAGTGTTGAATCTCATAAAGTATTGAATCCCGATACAGAAGCTGTTAAAAATCATTCTTATAGTAAATAAATAAAGTTGCACAGTAAAGTAAATAGATTAAATCCGGCCGAATGCGCACCAGACAGTGGATGGAAGCGCCAGAGGCGCGGCAAACAGGATGGTGATAATTATTAAAAATGGTAAGCTACGACCAAAAGTTTTATTTCATCAAAATGTTCGAAAAATATGTATTTTCTTGATATTATTGCGAAAAATTCAAAAAAAATCCGGGAAATTTTCAAAAAACGTTGTTGAAAGTGAAAATTTGCTTGAAAATGTAGAATTCCCGTGCAGTGTGAAACCACGACGCCTGGCAGCCGTCCCGCCGCCATGGCCTAGGTTTCTCCGGGAATTCAAATCCTAGTCCGTATTCGCCACCTTTAAAATTTTCAACAGAATTTTTCGAGAGTTTCGAGTTTTTTTTGAATTTTTATATATTTAGATAGTATTGTTGTTTCGGAGTCCTCTTTTAAGGCTTTTCGTTTTCATGTTGCTTCTGAAAAACGTTTTATGGTTCTATTCCTTTTTTTTTCTGAAATAATTGAAGTTCCTTTCTCCCAATTCCTCCTTCCTCCAACAACGTCATTCGTTTTCATTTGGTACATCATCCATTTTATTCCAACCTCTCCTTTCTCATTTGGCTCCGCCCACTTTTCTCTATCTATTCCCAAATTGAACAACAAAAACACATCGCGTGACGATAAAACTTCCAGGCGTCCCTCTCCAGAAGAAGTAGAAGAAAACGTCATTTTGGGACGAATTCGCAATCCATTTTTTTGTCATTATGTGCTCTTCCACTACTCAATACTTGAGAATTGGGATGCTCTTCACTGCCTTTTCCATGACCTCTTTGCACAGAAAAATCCCTTGTTTTGGAAATATAATACCGTATCGAATTTCGTGGCAAAAAAGGAGAGCGTTTCAAGATTTTTCAAAGCGGATGGGGTCTTAATTCAGAGAAAGATGACAATTATCAGTGTAGCTCATTCGGCGTCCAGTACTGATAAAAACGAGTATATCTTTAGACATTAGAACCTTGGAAAAATTGGCTGAAATTTAATTTTACGTTTCATTCAAAGCTACTGGAATTTTCAAAGCGATTGCTCAATTTCAGGTATTGTTATGACTGCTCAAAGATGAACGGCATAATGTTTCATGTGATTTTCAAGAGACAAAGCAACTTTGACAAGCGATAACTGAGTTCAAAGTTTATCAAATAGCTTGAAACTTGGCCAGTTTATGGATAAGTTTTTTGAATTTTCGCCCTTCAAATTTGAGCCCAGTACAACGTTTTACTCAAATTTTACGGCAGTACTAACTTGAGTCTGGGTGATTTTGCGCCACACTGTAGTTCAAAACCCATGTCTCTTCTTTAGACGATCCAGTTGAAATCGGAATTTTCTTACAAGTCTAATCAGATTGAAGAATTCTAATCATTAAAAAATTTCAAACCGAAAAAAATAATTTGATTTTCGGCAGTTGGTCTTCAGACTCTACTAAATAATGTAATAGAAATAAAGTTTATTCCCAGTTAGCTCCCCCTGTAAACGCAGCTGATTCCCTGTTAGCTTCACTACAGTAACCCTCAAGCTCAGCTACAGTAATCCTCAATTCCTCCCCCAACTCCTACTTCCCTTTGACCTTCAGCGAGCGACTAATCAAATTTCGAAAATGTGTTTTTGTCTCCAGAATCAGATTCCATAATCGTTGTGACTCACCACAATCAAACACAATCCTATCTCTCTCTCCACATCATCTCCTTCCTTTCCTTCTTCGCTGTTCTTTTTTTTTCTCATTTTCTCCCTTCATGTTTGTCGTTAACGCCTTCTGCTCCTTCTTCCTCTTCTTCTTCTTCTTTTTCTCGGCTCCTCTAATTTCAGCCAGCTCGTCCCTTTCCTCATCTAATTAAATTTGCCTCGGGCTCCGATGCTTCCATCGTTGTTGCCTCCCCTCTTTTTCCTATCCTCCTGAACTTTTTCTTCTTCTTTTCATCGTCATTTTTAGAATATTCATTCTCCTTTTTTTCAGCGCTCTTCTCATTTTATCTCAAGCATTCAATAGAAAAAAAAGAGCAAGAAGAAGAAGAAGGAAACGATAAGTGGGGGCTCAGTGCCATTGGATGATTGAGTCGCGCCAAAAAGACGGCAAAAAAGGCTGAAGAGGTGAGATACTACAGAAAAGGAACGAAAAAAAAAGGAATTTTACTTTAAAATGTTTGTTTTTTTCATTATGGTCATTATGGAGTTACCGTAAAACATGTAAAAGAAGGGTCCCTAACTTTGAGCCAACTTATCTCGGTTCCTGTAAAATGTATCAAACAGTTGTCAACTGATACATTGTTAATCATAATTTAACCAATATTTTATTAATTGACAATATCTCAATATCTTTTACAGGAACCGAGATATGTATCCCGGCTCGAAGTGAGCTGCTCAAAGTGAGCATAGAAGGCCGCTCAACTTTGATTTAATATATCTCGGTTCTTGCAAAAGATATAAAAAAGTAATCAACTAATAAAA